AATTTTTGCACGCTGGTAATCAATCATCTATAAGCAGATAGCGCTGTAATGCAGTGTGTGTGTTTTTTCATGTTAAGATTTTTTACTTGGCACACACGCAACACACGTTGAGTAATTGTCGACGGCATGAATGCATTTAATCAATTTAGCCTTCGATATCGGCGAAGAAACTGCGCGAAGCCCCGAAAGCCATTAGATGCGGAACGCAGCAATCCATCGCGTGTTAATTACTCGCGGCGCATTAAAAAATATTAATTTTCGCGCATGAAAGTTGCCGATAAACGGTCGTAATTTATTAATAACGCGATGCAGCCACGAGCCACATGATGATGGTGCGTCTAATGCATTGCGTGATTTTTTGAAGAAAATACGACACATCCCAATGCAGGCGCAGTACATAGGCCTACAAAGTTGGTGCTTTTAGTGCATGGATAATTTGTAAAAGTGTAATTCATCATCGGATTGATTTCCAATAGTGATGCTGGTTCATCGACACAAAAAGAGCTGTCGCGATGCGTCGTGGGTGGCTATAGAAGCGCGATGTGCGTGGTTCGACAAGTCGAATGGATTTCTTTTCGCGCTGCGTTGTCGTCGACGCTTGCACCCGCTGCGAGTGATTAAAATTTCAATTTTGAAGAGGCCTAAACGCTGGTATTTCTATTCATCATCAACATTATTTACGGTAGTGCATAATATTATTACTCAGTATCGAAAGGTTTCGTTTTACGCGTTTGAGTTATGTGCATCTTTGAATTTGATTTATTTGGAAATAAATGCTTAGGAAAAAGAAAATTTTTGAGAAAATATTGGTTTTATTGGTAAAATAAATCAATGTTCAGTTAACAAAACGGAAAACTTGAGGTTTATTGGTGTAAATTCGTGAAAATAAAATTTATTCAGAAAAAAATACAATTTTTATTGTTGTGGCTCACATATCCACACAACTGAGTAGCTTCTGGTGGGGGAAGTGACGTCAGTGCTGAGTTCTTTGCTCTGATTAACTTTTCTCGATTTTTTTGCCGTTTTCGGAATTTCTGTGATTCTTTTGATTATAATAATCATCAACTCCGTACTTTATACAAAAATAAACGCTTTTTTCATATTAAATACCTCAAGATTCATTAAACAAATTCACAATTTTATTGATTTTCAGTCACATACATCAAACATCAATTAAATTTACTCAGTAAATTAAGAATTTTAAACCACGATTATTAATCAGTGGTATATTGATGATTGTACGCCAGTATTTTTACTATTTGCGTTCTATTTCGATTTGTTATCCCGCAAAAATCAACAAAATATTAAAACTTATTGCCAAAGAGATCGACGCTGATAGTAAGACATCTCAAAATATATTGGTTCACTGGTTTCAATATCGCTTACATCTGAAACACGCGCTCACAATTCGTTTGCCGATAGTTGGCATAAGCCGATAAAACTACACGTCTGTCATCGGCGCTGCCAAACCGCAACATATTAATAATTTAAATGTTTTAAACACAGCGCTGAGCAAATAACCTACATAATGATTCGTACACGAGCAATGAACAAGATTCAAATCTCGGTACAGACAACGGACAAGACAGATGTTGAACAAATTCTATATCAATTGATACTTAGATTTAAACTTTACACTTTTAAAAAAAAAAACTAAAATTTTTAGTTTTCACGTAATTATCTTTAAATTTTAGAAATTTTGTGACTTAATTAAAAGTCGCATCAATTAACTGCTTTAATATCCGTAATAAAATTCATTATGCTCTTAAATTAACGCGATGAAGCAATTAAAACATGTGTTTGACTTCCTCACACTTGAGTCTTACTCGTCTTCGTTTCTTGCGCATAAATAGGAACGATTAAGCAATATATAATAACCAATTGTGTGTGTCTGCAGTGCCGCCAACATTGCGAGTATTTCAATTTTAATCTGGTATTCTTGCCCGCTTTTGCGGATATGGTGTGTTCGTTTTTTTCGTTATTAATTAACACGCATTTAATACGAATGCGAGATTCTTCGCTTTTTCCACACGTCATCTCGTGCATTATAATACAATGTATACCGAAAATCCAATTAATTTAATTTCATGTTCCTGTTCCTGTCGTCTGCTGATTTTGGCCGAAAAAATAAATACCGTGTGACGATGCAATCAGAATGAACAGAAGACTTCTGGTTTCTTCACAAGCGTGAGTGTTGGGAAAGTATTCCGATTATTTTCTTCTTGCTTATTAAAATCAATTGATAACCAGCTGGTAATTTGATGATGTTGCGGTAGAAGTAGAAGTAGAAAAAACACGCACGATGACGCCTCGGAATACATACACAAGCAGTATTTAATTAGTCATTAATGAAGAGCGTACAAATAGATTTCGTGTACTCCTGTCTTTGGCGGCGTATTCCGATATCAAAATAATAATTAAAACCTTTTGACGTGCACGTAACTGAGACGCTTCTCGAAAACATCTGGAGAATATGTGCGCGCGGTTTTTTCTGACTTTTTCGCCTGTCCAAACATGTTAATAACCGATTCCTCGCGCTTGTCCAATCGTCGAACATGTGCGTTGTAATAAATTTTACCTAACGACTCATTTTCGTCTCTGCGCACTCTCATCAAACGAACCCAATATGGTTTTACAGGATTTCACACAAAAGGAAGCTCATTTTATCACTAAACTTGTCTGCTGTGGAAAAGTTCGTTTATTTTTATTTCCACCACAAAAACCAAATTACAACCCGTATAATGGCAGCATTTGATTTTCCACGTCGATAAACATTTTACGCTGATTAGATACATTCATTGTGCAATGAATTCAAGTTTGACGGAGATTAGACCACGAGATAGAAACTCCTACACATTCAGATCATGTCCTGGACATTAGTCTCCGTCCCGGACTGACACGAATTCATCATTCGATTGAATATCGGCGCTGGTAAACGCGCGTGAGCTTTGAACTCGCAGCATTCGAAAGGTCAAGAAGATGAAATTGTGAAATTTCTAAGGGAATCAGAGGTAAAAAGATTTAGATCATAAATACCTAGTAAATTTCTCGCGTTTATTTTTTATTTCTTGCAAATCGCAAATCAACGCTGAACGGTAGTTGAAAGTACGCATCACGCTTATTTTTTCTATTTGCAATGAGGTCTAATGACGTGAAATATTAAACATTGATGTAAGCCGCGTATAATTCTTGTGGGTTTGCATCTCACCACGCATTGAATTTACTTAGTAATGTCGGTATCATCAGGAAACTCCGCGTCTCATATTTTTTATAATTTATTTTCCAGTATCATATTACTTACCGAGGTGTTAATATTTATATAGTGTATAAAGTATAGTATTTGACTTGACTTAACTTGACAATATTATTTACTTTATTATTTTTGCCTTTGCGTTTTTATCCTAAAACGAGCGCCATTAACCCGCACATTAACGGTCTTCTGGGTGCGCGGCGTAAATACACACAATTATATTATTACTTCTACAAATGGCCGCCGCGGATCATTCTAGCCGGCAGAGATTTAAAGCGCTAATTAAAACATAATTCCGGGTTGGCTCTTCACTCACAGCGCGTCGGAATTGAGCACACTCCGCGCAGAATTTCGGAATAAACGGATAATTCGTAAAGCGTGAGTTGTTAATAAAAAACACGCACGACGGACGCGCGCAAGATGCGTTAACGCTGCTATTTGTGCTTTAAAACATCTTTACTTTGAGTCAACTTTTTCTTCAACTAGAAATATTGCCGTTTTTAGCTTTATTTTATTTTTAGCAAATAACGATTACAATGACCGAGGAAAAAGAGTTTAAAAACATGATGTCTCAAAGCGTATTTTATTTGAAAATTTTTACATTTTTGCTTGTAACTTGATATTCCAGGCGTGTATTTAAATAATCATTAAATTTTAATTACTTCAGAATACATTTCGGTAACGAATTGTATGCGTGACTGGATATTTTTCAACGTGAGTGATAATTAATTAAGTTATTGTGGCATTTACTCAAAACGCTCGGAAATGTAATTTACCAGCGGTTTGTTTAACTAATTTTACATTTTAAACACTTTAGCATCAAATTTATCCTTAGGATGCAATAATTTATCTTTTACCACACAAAAATATTTAATTTTTCTACTAAATTTAGTTCAAAACTTAATCTTAATCATTTTTATGCGCGCTGTGAAAGCCGATCGCTTTAATTTGTTTATTTTGCCTTGTTGTGAAATATCCCATGCCCTTTACGTCGGCGGTGAAGACAAGAAGCAAAGTGAAGTGCAATTAAAGCCGGCGATAAAAGTGTCGGAGGGAAAATCGCCGTTTTGCAAATTGCTTGTAAGTACTCATCCTACGAGTATGTGCCGCGGATGATTTTCAGTCGCTGCCTGCTCGTTACACGCCGTCGCTCAAACAATCCGACCTGCTACACATCCACAAGGTGTAATTTTCGCGTTGCATTTAAATCGGCCCCAATCCGCTATTAAGACGGGCAATTACACAAGCGGAGTGCTTATCCAGACACATTAAACTGCCTGATACAGATCGAAATGAATGCAAATTAAAATGAATACAATTTATTGAAATTTAAGCGAATAAAATTTTAAACTCGAAGAATACACGTTTGCTGTGATGTTTTTGTTCTCGGCGTGGAATGTAAACAGAGATAAGACATAAAAAAGATAAGATTCAGGTTGTTTGTTGTGTTTTCATGTTTGGTCAGTCTTCTACGCGCAGCGAAACAGTGCACGTCGTGAATTTTTAAATTTTTGGTTAAAAATTATTATTTTTTAAATAAAAAAGTGCATCGTTGTTACCGTATCCCTAAACCGCTGGTAACTTCTGCTGGCTGCTTGACTCCGCTCCGCGCAGCGATTGCAGGTGTGCCTGGTGGGGATCGCAGGAGTCTTCACCTCACGCAGGTGGGGCTCCGGCAACGGTGTGGGGACCGAATGTAGGTCTTTGGGTCCGCGGACGGTGGGTGGCGAGCAGTTGTCGGTACCGCTAAGCGCGAACAAGTACCGCTTCGGAAGGTCGCACCAGCCGCACCGTGTGGTATACCCTTCGAGGCAGCCAGCAGCGGCGCACGCACACGCTGCGCACCGGTACCTTGCGTGCCTTCCGCGAGGGGATCTTACACCCTACCCCCACTCTTTACTCAACTCAACTTAACTCTACTCAACTACAAGGACCAACGGGCAGACCCTAACAAGGAGAAGGAGATACACTCAAGTTGTGTGATAGTTACCTAAAGATACCGGATTGTGGTTTTGTTGTGTGTTTGATGGTGTGTCAGCTGACCACAGACAATATAATGTGTACGCGTGCGGATTAACGACTTGGTAATTTTACTATTTTATTAGTGGTTGTTGTTTGAACGCCGGGGACATAACGAATTTTATTTTTATTTTTATTATTTTTGGTTGTTTTGGTGCGTTTTTTATGTGTGAAACAGTGTTTTCTCTTTTGTGCGGCGCGCTGCGGAACTCTCGAAGCGCCGCGCAAATATTGACGCATCCTAACGTCCGAAGTTTGCACACTTATTAACTCTTCGTCAAGTGGACGGCAAATATTTGACGTTTACAATTTACAATCGGTTTGTTCCAGTGTGTGCTTATACGATTTGTGTGGGTTACTGTTCCATTGACGCATCGATATCCACGGCGTTTGCAGGAAGTGATTTTAATGCAGACTGCAGAAGGAATAAAATGAGCAAACTTTTGTTTGACGGATTATTTTAACAAGTGCGATAATTTTTTTATTTTGGTGGACTAATTGTGCGATATCCAAAGGATTTTTGAGTTTTTTCATGGAATTTTCATCATATTTAACTAAACGTAAGTTGTTTTTGATTTCTTTAAAGCAGATTGCAGTAGTAATAAAATAAACAAATTATTTTATTAAGTGCGATAATTTTTGGGTATATTTTTATAAAGGTGAAATAATTATGCGATATTTCAATGATTTTTGACTTATTTAATGAAATTTTCACCATTTTAATAAGACGTAATTGTTTTTTATATAATTAAGTATTTATTGAAGGTTTATGGCGAAATTCGTGGAATATCTTGCCGTCGCTAGGTTAACCAATTAACATTATTAACGTGGTTAACATTACTCAATGACGATTTCCTGTTTCGTACGCATTAATACACATTAGCGCGATTAACATGCACATTTTTAATCGTGACATCTACAAGCGACGGAAAATTATAATTAGGCACCTAAACAAATAAAAAGTGCGCACAATTTATTACATACACTTGTTTTACCTGCCTTTACATGCGCTTTAGTGTAATTATTGGAATTTAATTTTTCGTTTTGTTTTTTGTTTTTATGATCGGAAATGAATACAATTTTCCCATAATTTCTCGATCAGCAAACTTTCCAACGTTAATACGCGCCCGTTAACATTGTGACATTGATTTGAGTAGGATATCCCATCACGATTTATTTTACAGTAAGCGACGATGAGAGATGCGACGAATCTCTGCGTTGACTTTATTACCAATTTAATACGCGCTGCGCAATGCGGCGATTATTGCCGATATTGCCGTTTTTATTGGTATTTATTACCGTGTGATATATGAAGTTGGGTGCAATGGGTCGTAGAGATGATTAAAATTATACACATTGTAAATATTTTCATAAAAATTTCAAATTTTTTACAAAAAATATAAAAAACAATAGAATTATTCATAAACCGTTATATTTTCCAAAGGAAAAACTAAGAAATAAAAGTCGAAATGTAAATGAAGATGTGAAAATGAAGATTCCAGTTTATGCAGGTTGACGACGAGGACGGTCCGGTCCGATCGTAGGTGTTATAACAGTACAGTTGGTCGGCGGTCGTCCGCGTCCGATTTCCGAGCAAACCATGACCAACGCGACGCGCGAAAGAAACGCGTAACATAGTTGCATCCGCGCGTAAAGTAAAACACAAACTCATTTCACAAATCAGTACATTTAAATTATCCGAAAGTGCAAAAAATTTCATTCCGGTCGATGCAATGCAAGCGTAATGGCCAAAAACACCGTCGCTAAATAATAAACCGCAGCAGAATAAATAAATAGGATGAATTTATGTTCGGAAGAAGTGGATGTCGAAAGAAAAATATGCAAAGTATGCAAAAATAAATAAACTGGTACTTAGTGATGAATTTTAAAGGTTTAAAGTGACAATAAACTAAAATTGGTGATTTTGGTTGCATTTTATTAAAGGTAGACCATAATACGACCAATTTATATCATGAATTTAAGTTGATTGTCACCTGTAGACTTTATTTTCATATTTATGTTGTTTTTTGAGTTGTGGTTGACAGGTCCGAATATTATCGCAACTAATTGCGCATGAATGCGTATGTGCCGTATGGCGTACGTCCAATTGTCCGAAAATTGATAACGGTTTAAGCGAAATAATAAATAATATACGAATTAATCACAGCCAGCGCATACCTACTTTCGTCGTGTGGACACGGAACACACTCGTGCGATGCGGTCGTTGTTGTCATTAAGAAACGATTTTTAACTTGTGACTTCTTCCCCAACTTGTCGACGCTGGTAATATTCACGAATTCAATTTCAATTACCATTCGACAAAGTGTTGTAAAATGTAAAAGAAAGCGTCATTAACGCGCCGTTGATATATTGCGCCGGTAATTAACGAGCGCGATAAACAAATCGAAAACGGTCACACGAATGTCATTAGGAAGAGCGCCATCGGTCACCGCAGCAAACTGTTGGACATACTTATAGATTTAATACTTAATCACTTTCGAAGTTGGGTCGTTTGTTAGGAAACGCGCTTGGAAATATTTCAATTATAGCGAGGCGCGCGCGCGCGCGTTGATTGCCTTAGCAAAACGACTAGAAAATTCCATTATGATTGACGAAATCGGCGGGATGCGTGTTTGAATTCATCGAGTGCCTGGCCAGTGTGTGTTTGGCATATCGGTAAATACGTCCACGTCGCTAAAAAGAGCAATATTTCAAGTGGTTGCTCATCCATGAAGACCTGAAGTAAGAATATATAAAAATAAAAATAAAAATCGAAATGTGAAAGAAGCGTCCGGTGACGAATGAATTTATAAATTATTTTGCCCCGCGAGGCAGGCAGCATCAAAAACAGGCAGATAACGCGAGAGAAATGTTTTTTAAATGGATTTAACTGTTTCGATACGCTGAGGTTGTAATTAATTAAAGGTATATTTACACGATTGTAATATTAAATGTTAATTTATAATTTTTTTATTTTTTATGAATTTTTGTGGATAAAAGTTTATGCAAAGCTTATATATCCGCTTAGAGATGATGATAATATAAGTGAAAATCAATAATGTGCTTAGAGTGCAAATTTATCAGCATCATCTGCGTGAATCTGCGCGCGGGCAGCATAAAAACGCAAAGTGATGTTTATATGCGGATAAGATATTGACTGTTTCTCCCCAAATTTGTCTCGACGTCAATTTCTAATCCTCGATAATTAATATACATTTAATACTTAATATACCGCCTGCTGTCAAAGCGCTGACCAGCCGAGGATGAAGCCGAAAAAAACTCGCTGCGTGCCACTTTGCTATTTTAGTTGTGTTGCACTGCACAGCGCGAAGACAAGTGGGCAAGCCGAGTGAAAAATTTTCAACGCCTTCAAACAGTCGATAAACAAAAATAGCAAATGTTAGATTTGATATGAAGATGATTTTACGACTATTATAGTACACATTCCAATGGTAATTAATTTTTGTCCAATTTACATTCGCGACGTGTAGATATATGTAATTAACAGCTCGGTATAAATTCAATTAACGAAGTGAAACCGAAGGCGGCGCGCAGCGCGGGAAAATCGTCTGCGAATGTCCATTTTCATTTTTTGATGTTTTGCAAAGCGTACTGGTTCTGGTCGAGAGCAAAAGAGCAAAGTTTAAGTTTCTCCCGAAATTTTTACGCGATATTTAGTTTCCTCGTTGGCTGCGTCCGCGTCTATTAATCACATTGATGGCTCGCGTCTTTGAGCTCCAGCAGGCCGATTGGCTTTTGGCTTTAAATATTTAATTAAATTTCAATTAAAACGTGCGATTCGCTACGGCATCTGTATTGGACGTGTTTCCAAAATTGTTGCTGTAATAATTTTCTTGTTTCTATATGCAAAACATTCGCTCCTTATATAAATTTTATATACTGAGTGATCAAAATTTAATTTTAGTGTTTTTGTTGTTTTTTGGATGAAAATTATATTTTTTATAAAAAAATTTAAAATGATGAAATTTAAGATTTTTTTGGTAGATTTTTGCGTTTTTTATTGTAGAATTTTATGTAGTACTCTGTATATAATGCAAAATTGTAAGTTGCCTGTCGTCATCATTGTCTGCGCGAAAATCGTTAGGTTTGGCGCGTTAGCGGGAAAGCACCGGCGATATGAGCGACTGCACCTACGTTTCGAGCGCCTAAAATGTCAATAAATGCATCTGTTCGTTATTTATTTTACACTTTATAATAAATTACCGCGTGGTATTTTATTAGCTGCACAAACACATAGAAATCGCTGCAAAATGTTTAAAATCGCCATATAATCATTCATTTGATGTCACATATTATTTGTATATTATACACGTCTTTAGCAAGTTGACTACCAGTCGGCGAATTTCTCTCTTGAGAACTGCCGATAATTTATTAAATTGTTTAAAAATTGAAAAAAATGATTCGCTTCACAACATGACGCCGCATTAGAAGCAATAAAATCTCAAACATTTTTATTCGCCGGTTTTATATTTCTCGGCTCGTTTGTTTCCACATTCTTGCTTTTCTTGCATGCACGCATACACAAAATTCACTCCTGGTCAGCTAATAACCTCTAATAATAACCAAGCGACGTCGACACACTGAAACCAAACACACACGCGAGTGTGTTACCCGCGGACGGCGAACGAAAACGAGTTTTTAATTTATAACCGATTCGACCAAATGCCGGCTAGACCGGGTTAGAATAGGTCAGTGGGATAATTTCAATAAGTACCCAATATAATAATAAATAATTATTTTCAAAACACTTTAATGTGTACAGAGAATAGTTTATTTTAATTTATGCATCAAAACGAAAACGACCTTGATTGTATTTGTTTTAATGCGGCATTGTGTTGTGATGATGATTTGGTGAAAATTGTGCTAATGCGGTTTGCAGGGGAAAAAGCCAACGCCGGGAAAAAGCGCATTAGCATAACGCTAATCTGAATCTATCAACACTCTCGGCGCGCTGTGTAATTAGTTGTATTATAAAACGAGCGAACACATTGAAATTCTACGCGGTTGGGAGACCACAAAGGTCTCCCAGAAAACGAGCACGCAGCTAACGGAAGCGAAATTCACACTGCGTAAAAAAACACCACACGAATACAAATATAACACTCTAGAAGCCTTAAAATAAATTTTATAAAAATTTAATTATCAATATAAACACATAAATACTTAAAAAATACTCGAATCTTACTCTCAAACATAATTTATCTTTCGATAGTTTAGATTTTTATTAACGTCGAGTTGTCATATGAATAACTATGAATATGAATAAAATCCTACATAAGGACAATTGCAACATGTCGAAGAATTACATTACACTCGGAATAAATGATGCATCTAACACGAAACAAAGGAAAGCATGCAAACAATGCTGCAATAAATATCACACACATTCAACGCAAGAATATGCGCGCACTCTTCGTCTCACATTGTGCTGCGCCGGTGAATAAAAAAAAGCAACACACAACGAAACAGAAAGAAGCACCTCGCGCGCAGACAGACATTGTGCTGTGACTCTCGGCATTGACATTTACACATCGCGTTT